ATATATATATAGAGAGAGAGAGAGACATTTGCGCGCACACGCAAAGACAAAAATGTTATAAAGTGGAGAAAAAAATAGTAATAATTTAAATGCTTCAAAATAGAGGTTAAGCACACTTGAATAAAATAGATATGTATTCATTTTTGTTGATTACCAATATCCCTGGCTTTTTCCTGTTTTTCATCCACTTACTACTTCAATTTCCACCTTCAACTTTCATATAGTTTTCCAAAGTGAAACGCTGTTTTGAGTCCTAGCCAATTTTTTTTTGCATTTTGAGATCTCTCGTTGCTTCATTTGATATTATATGACTTGCGTGTATGCTTCGTGACGTTTTTCGAAAAAGCTTTTGTGTAAAATTTTTATAAAATGTAATTTTTGAGTTAAAATGAGGCTACATTTGTAATGACCCGATCCGTCGTTACGGGAGTTACCACCCCGTTTTTCCCGTTTTATGCTTCTATATGTTTTATTATATGTGTTTGGAGAATTTGAAGTAATTCGGTTAGAGTTCTGTTAGAAATGAGACAATAAGTCTCTTTATGAGAAGATTAGTTTGAAAAAGTCCACTGAATGTTGACTTATGAGTTAGAAGGCTCGGAATGGAATTCCGATGATTCGACTAGTTTCGGGGGATGATTTGTGACTTAGGAGCGCAATCAGAATTGAATTTGGAGGTCCGGTGTAGAATTAGGCCTGAATTGGCTAAGGTTGGATTTTGGTGAATTCCGGATGGTAGGTGAGATTTTGATCCGAGGGTCGGAATGGAATTCCGACAGTTGCAGTAGCTCCGTTAGGTAATTTTGGATATGCGTGGAAAATTTCAGATCATTCGGAGGTGTTTAGGACGGGTTTTAGATCAAATTCAAGTTTCGGAAGTTTTAGTTTAACTTAGGCTTGAATCTGTGGTAATTCGATGATTTTGATGTTAACGATAGTGTTTTGATGATTGGAACAAGTTTGAATAAGGTCTTGGGGTGTGTTGGTGCTATTGGTTGAGGTCCCGGGGGCCTCGGAGTGATTTCGGGTGGTTAAACGGAGAATCTTGATGTTTGTTGCAGGTCTGGTGCACCTGGCTTCTGGTATTTTCGCATCTGCGGAAAAGGAGCCACAGAAGCGGTTACGCAGATGCGGCTAAGAGAT